ATAAATTCGTTTTCTGTGAGATACGATTCTTCCACACTGACTTAATTAAATATATATATATATATATATATATATATATATATATATATATATATATATATATATATATATATATATATATATATATATATATATATATATATATATATATATATATATATATATATATATATATATATATATATATATATATATATATATATATATATATATATATTTATATATATATACACTTCTTCGAAATTCCTCTAAAGTTGGACTAGTGCCCAAGACGCAACAGGCATTCCCTCCTCTGAATTGCAACACTGAGGCGCTGGAACAAGAAACTTTTTGCTCCCTGATCTTTTATAGCGCCGATCAATTTGTCCCCCAATTCCTTCAGGAACTTCAATGCACATTTTCCCCACGAACCGAGGGTCTCTGAACTGATCGGAACAAAGCTGTAGCAGTGTGCCAGACCTCTGGATTTAATAATTTTCTGCGATTCCCTGAAAGAAGCAGCGCCACCCCTTTCACGTTTGCTGTAGTGGGGGTAGGTACTGGCTAGTGTGGCAGCGCACGTTTAGTCCCACACCACTTGCTTACCATCCTTCTAAAGATGCAAGGTGACCCCATCTGGGCGCTTCTGAGGGTCGTTAGGTCTGAATAAGTGTGGTTCTCTTTGTGCCGGGCAGCGGGCTGTGGCGAGGCTCCTCTTGGTGATGTCGTTGACTTTTTTATGTCTTGCAATCTTACCCTGTGATTTACGATATACCAGACCATGACGATCATATTGGTCTGCCATCGCAGTTCTGCAGATGCACCTATGTTCGCTGAGGATGGGGGTGGCAAGGCAAAGGGCAACTCCAATGCGGAGAGCGTCATGATTGAGGCGAGTTCCCAGGGCTGCATTGAGGACAGCAAATAAAAAATCCCCGGCATGGAGTGCTGTTACCGCTAAGTGGCGGGCTTTGTTTTCAGCATCTGCGTTGTCAATCAATGCTGTGACAGTCTTTTCCCTTATGGGACTATCCCAGTGTTACTAAGTTATTAAGACAGACTATTGTTCAACTGTTTCCTCTCACAGATCCTTTCTGTAAACGGTAATCTAAGCACGCTTGTTTAGTTTTCTGCAGATCCACCACACCTTCGATACACGGACACACTCCAAATGAGATTTTAACTCTTGGTCACAGCCTCGAAGTTATTGAGTACCTACAGCAACAGATTAAGTGATGTTTAATGTTTCCAATAACGGTATGGGGGACCATATGGATATAGGCCTTACCCCAGGCTCTAAGAGACTCGAAAAAACACAAAAGTCCTGTCCCTAACAGGTTACTGCATACCTATACTTAAAATGTTGCCACTCCGGACAAAATCAAATCATCCAAGATGTCTCATATATTGCCCAACTGTTTACTGAAAAAAAAATTATAATGGTTATTGGGTAGCAAATTAAATTATGATTTAGTTATAGACTTACGCAAGCTATATTTTATTTAATTGTCAGACTTTGTTATACGATATCATTAATTGTTGCTGCATTTACTATACCCTGTATTTAAATAAACCAGCTGAATATTAGATAAACGAACTTCAAAAATTCAATTTTCCTCATTTTATTAATACGTGTGCTTCACATTTGTTCAAATAATTAGCCAAGTCCTGACTAAAGGCAGACGCAGGTGTTACACCACTTGCCAGTTTTGATGTCGACTAACGTCCAAATACTTCTTTAATATTATATTAATAAAATCATTTGTTGTAATTAAACATGCCCAAGTCTCACTCTTCCGGAAATCGCACACAGGAGCAATTGGTTGTGTCACGTCTGTACTAACCACGTCACAAGGAAATACAAGTATCAAATAATACGAATATATATTATGGGTAGAAGCAAACACACTGGCAGAATACCTGCTACAGTAACCATCGGAGGAAGCAACAAGACGCCTATCAGTGACGTCTGCAGATGAATCCTGAGAGAAATATGCAGGAAAGCGGGGCCTCTCCTCCGCGTGTTTAAGAGTGTGTTTTCTTGTAAATCTGTCTAAATGATTGGTCGAGCTTCAAGCCCACCCCGGCTAATGGCATCGCCGCCCGTAAACCTGAATTACGACCTGAAACTATCCCAAGTCTTGGGGGATTTTCTCTGGTTATATGCTCTAAATATCTCCGCTGGTGAAATGGCCTACTTGGAGCGCCTTAAAAACAAAACCAAAGGACTAGCACCGGCCTGTCCACCTGGGACGCAGCGTCGAGCAGCACACAGGGAAGTCAACCGTGAAATAAATATACGATATGGATATGTTAACTGAGAGGTTTATCTTACTTATAAAATATATTTTGGCCAATCATTGGAAACTGTCATAACTGAAACAGCAGGTGATCTTTCGCTTACATTATACACATTCTCAATTAATATTACAGAACATAAAAATATCCTACCTAAACCTCTGAAGCATAGAATGCGACATAAATAACTAAAGTGTGTGCAGATTGTGAGTCACAATAATGAACCTAGGGGTACTAGGGGTGTTTGTGCCAGTGATTGTAACAGTAATGGGGGCGTTTGTACCAGTGAATGTAGGAGTAATTGGGTGTTTGGGCCAGTTAATGTACCGGTATTGTGAATGACTTGAGAAACTAATGAAACATTAATAAGTTCAGTGGGCCAATGAGTGCTTATTGCAGCGGTGATTGTTCTCAAGGACAGTGAAATGTGCGTTTAATTAAACACTAAATTAGTCATCTTGATATGTAATTAAAGCTACTTACTTAATAATAATTTTATATTTTTATTTCGTAAATAAATCCAGTATATAAAGCATGGGGGTGTTAGCAATAACCAAACACAAGGCATTATTGATCCACAAAAATATGTTTTTACTTACACGTGACAATCCAGCAGGTGAAGGTTGCGAGTAAAGTATGATAATTGGTATAAGGTTGTCACTTGAGAGACTGCTGGTGTAAGGTGGTTGAGATGCAGTACTGTTATAAGAGTGTCACTTAAAGGACTACTGGTGCAACAGTCACATGTGGGACTGGTATATGTTGACCAGACCACACACTAGAAAGTGAAGGGACGACGACGTTTCGGTCCTTCCTGGACCATTCTCAAGTCGATTGTGAGACTTGAGATTGGTCCAGGACGGACCGAAACGTCGTCGTCCCTTCACTTTCTAGTGTGTGGTCTGGTCAACATACTTCAGCCACGTTATTGTGACTCATCGACTGCTGGTATATGGCAGTCTACTGAGGCGCAGTAATGGTATAAGCTTGTCGCTTAAGGGGCATTGCTGGTATAAGGTCAGTTTAGGGGCTGTACTTGTAAAGGATTGTCACTTCAGGGAGAGTACCGGTGTGAGGTTTCACTTGCAGGACTCTCCTTGTATAAAGATGTCACGTGAGGCAAAAATATCTGGATGTAGATCATGGTGGAGATAAATTTATAATAAACATGGTTGATGAAGATGCGGTGATTTGTGTTGAGAGTGAGGAGTAACTGCGGTTGTGAATGAGATTGACACTCATTCACAACGGCTTGTGAATGAGTTTGATGCAAATTAAAGCTGTAGGTCTATGTAACTGGATGTAAGATTATGGTACACAATGAAATCACAATAACGGGTGTCTGGTGGTGACCCAGAAAGTATAGGGGTTCGATCCCACCCTCCTGTCCAGAAAAATAAGGCATAATAGTCGAAAATATAGGATAAAATTGGGGGAAATGATATTGAGAGGTAGCAAATTTAAATACTTTTCGGCAGTGTTAGATAATTATGAGAGTATGAGAGGCGATGTAAGGGTAATAAGTGAAAAATAGAGAGGTGAAAAACAATAAAAAGGAATGTAAATATAGGATTTATGAAAGTAAAACTTTGATATGGGAGTATGTGTGTGTGTGGACTGGCCAAGCTGGAAATTATTAATTTTGCTTGTATATACAAAATCAAGAAGAGTAAGCATGTGGGATAGGTGTATACAGATACATGAGACTCGACAAGCGTGAAAAGGATAACCGAAATCACAATACACTGAGGTCAAGAGGTGGAATGAACATGTTGATAGAATGTCTTAGAATCGTTTAACGATGTGTACAGTGGTGAAATACACACAGTAGCTCCACAATGTAATTGTGGAGCTACTGTGTGTATTTCACACAGCAGGTGTTATAACACCTGGCAGGTAACACCTGGCAGGTGTTATAACAATAGTGAAAGTATAGCAGATATTTTTTTCGATGGATAAGAACTTTAGCTCCACAATGTAATTGTGGAGCTAAAGTGAGGAAGTACCGCATCTGGTCTGTATATAGATACTGGTATAAGATTGGCAGTCTTTCATGGTGAGATATGTATTTATGATCCAACGTTAGTTAATTTTACATAGAAATTATGTACGTATGTTAATGTTTATAAATCATGACATCCTGATACAATACAGAATTGTTGTTTGACATGGTGAACTTGATAGCTTATATTCCAACCACTTTTTCAAGAGGTCTACTGTATATATAGGAGATATATCAAGTAAAAGATTGCAATGGCCATAAGCATTTCTCTCTCTCAATCACACATGTCCTGTTTAATATTCTTCGCAAAAAGTATTTACTCACAATCTGGCAACACCGAGACATGCCACTAAGCTGTTAGGCTCTATTTACCACAAAATACAATCATTGACTCAGTTAATTTAGTATACTATATAATAGAAAAACTGCATAAAATGACAAGTTTGTATTATTTTTAAACTGCAACAAGATGTATAATTATGTAGAGAACGCTAACAATTCTTTCTTTCGATTGTTAATTATTGTACTTCTGGCAGGTGTTATAACAATAGTGAAAGTATAGCAGATATTTTTTTCGATGGATAAGAACTTTAGCCTAATATTGGTTTGTAGTATTGTTTTCTAAAAGACAATGTAGTATAAAGATTTAAAGAGTAACATTTAATTAAGATTATATTCATCAGCGACAACAGCGTGAGGTGGCGTAACACCCTTATGTAATATTAATACTTAATATCAGTCAGGGACATGTGATATAGCCTACTCTGTGAGCAGTTCTTGATCTTAAAAACAACGGAAATTATACTATAATAGCCTATCACTTGCAGTCTCGTCGGTGGCTAATGCATCCTAAGCCTCTTGTTGACTTATGCATAGACTTTGTGGTGCAAGCAACGGTGTATTACCAGCGTTACTGTCAAGACGATGAGGTAAGGTATTCCTGGTGGTGTGACGCTGCCTCCTCATCCCTCGTGATAACGCTCATGTGCTTACATAATACTGCTTCACTAACTGTGAAGTCGGAAAGTCGGGTTTAGATCTTAAGTGTCCTGCGTCCGTGTGGTGTGGCCCTGTTCTTCCTCTTATGGAATAGGGTTAAGAGGCACATAATTGGATCAGACTGAACTCCAAAATAAAATTAGCCAAGCAAGTTAGTTGATGTGCTAGTTACAAAACTGTATGTATCTTTGTTAAATCAAGCTAAGCAACTTACATGCGAGATCTAGTGTAAAATGTTTATCCCGTACAGCCCCCTCCCCCTCCACCCACAAAAAAAAAATCGGTGGAAAGGGTACAATCACCAGCATTTATGTCTTACACTTAGCAAACTGGGAGTTTTGCTAAAATGCAGGACTGAAAACATGATTTTTCCCCCACTGGGGTTTATAAAACAATGGAACCGCCTACCCCCCCCCCCTCCCCGGAAGCCGTAAAAACTGTTAAATTTTAAAATTAGCTGAAATAAATCAGGGGCCAGATTCACGAAAGCTCTTATGAACCTGTACATCTTTTCTCAATCGTTGGCGGCTTTGTTTCCAATTATTCAACAGTTAATGAGCTCGGAAGCACCAGGAGGCTGTTTATAACAATAACACCAGTTGAATGGGAAGTTTTTATGTTTGTAAATTGTTTAATAAATGTAACCAAAGCCGTCAAAGATTGAGGAAAGATGTACACGTTCGTAAGTGCTGGCGTAAGTGCTTTCGTGAATCTGGCCCCAGGGCCTTTAGTAAGCCGTCGGCTTCCTGTCCTCGTCGAGGCCACTTATGTTAGTGGCCCTCAGGTAAATAAAAACAATTTTTGGTACATCATTTTTAATGACATATTTACATTAATTGAACATTTGTTACCAAATTGTCTCTGAATTCAGTTATCTTTTCGCACTTTATCAGTGACGGAGGGTTTGCGAATAATTTAGTTGAGTTTACATTTGGTCAGGTCTACATCAGCAGGTAATGCAAATTCCCAGATACTTAAAAGTCAAAGCCGAACACTAATAACGTTAGTCTGCTAATTTAATTGAATGATCCACAGATGTCTTTTTTTGCATGGTCGATTTCACTTTGCCTCGGATCTACAAGGTATGATTGAAGTTTCTGGTGTATTCAGACTACTTATAGGCAATCCAAGGTTATAATAAACTTTGTTTGAATGCATTTTTTTTTTTAATAAATCATCAACTTTTATCATGCATTCGGAGGCAAACGCAAGATGGAATCCACATGAAAACTGTTACCATCATTAATAATTTTGTATTTGTGTCTAACTTCAGACACGACCATGTTACAGTTATTTATTTATTTATTTATTTATATACAAGAAGGTACATTGGGTTTGAGAGAATACATAGCATAGTATTTACAATCTTGTAAAGCCACTAATACGCGCAGCGGTTCGGTTAGGTCCTTAATCTAACAGATAAAGTTATGTCTTTATTAAGCTGAGCGTAATTATTCATTATCATTAAGGATGATAAAAGTCATTTACAATTAAGGTATCAAATTTAGACTTATTCACATTTCAGAGAAAGAACCAAGGCAAATAAATAGTCCAGTCCGAAGGGTAGACGCCTAGTTATTTATACTGACTCCCCCACTAAACTATAAGGTGCCCTTGTCGGCACACACCTTTAAAGACGTAGCTCCATACACAGACACACGTTCTGTGCTTCTGTTCAGCACATCCTTTTGAGAACCTTGCTCCACACACACATGCACCTGTGCCCTTCCTCGGCACATCCATTTGATGATTTTGCTCAACACATGCCTGTACATTTACTCATCACATCCTTTTGTGATGTCGGTTACAGGCCTTGTAGCCCACACATCCCTAGTGATGTCTGTTTCACACACACACATCTGTGCCCTTATTCGGCACATCCCCTTAAGGACTTCGCTCCACACATCCAGTTTCCCTACTCAGCACATCCCTTTACACACACACATACGTGTCCTTGCTCAGCACTTACCTTTGTCGATTTTGCTGCACTCACATACTGTGCGCTTATTTGGCACATCCTTCTGAGGACTGTACTCATTGCACCCTTTACCTTTACTCGGCACATAATTTTGAGGACATTCCTCCACACTCGTGCCCTTACTTGGCACATCCCTTTGAGGACATTATTACGCACACACACAACCCAATACCTGTTCTTGGAACATCCCTTTGATATCATTGCTCCACACACACATCTATGCCATTGCTTGCACATCCTTTAAGCATCGAACCCTTGCTCGGCATATCTCTTTTGAGGACGTAGCGCCACACACACATGTGCCCTTACTCAGCACATCCCTTTGATATCATTGCTCCACACACACACATCTATGCCATTGCATGGCACATCCCTTGGCTGGTTTTGCTCTATGAACATACTGTTCTCTTCAACACATCCCGTTTGAGGACTGTACTCATTGTAGTCCTAAAAAAAGAGTACAGTCCCTGTACCCTTAATTGGCACATCATTTTGAGGACATTCCTCCACACACAAGCGTGCCCTTGCTCAGCACATCTCTTTTGACGATATTGTGCCACACACACATATGTGCCCTTGCTTGGCATGTGCCCTTGCTTGGCACATCCCTTTGATAACATTGCTCTACACCACACACATCCGTGCCCTTGCTCAGCACATCCCTTTGAGAACATTACTCCACACACACACATCAGAGTCCTTCCTCAGCACATCCCTCTGATATCATTGCTTCACACACATTTATGCCATTGCCTGGCTCATCCCTTTGCTGATTTTGCTCTATAAACACACTGTGTTCATAGGGGACATTCTTTTGAGGACATTGCTCCGTACACACATCTGTGACCTTACTTGGCACATCCTTTTGATGACAATGCTCCACACACATCTGTGCCAATGCTTGGCAAATCCCTTTCAGGGCATTGCCCCACACACATCTGAGCTTTTGCTTTGCACATCCCTTTGAGGACATTGCTCCCCACACACATATCTGTGCCCTTACTCGGCACATCCTTTAGAGAACATTGTTCCACACATACATTTGTATCCCTTGTCCGGCACATCCCTTTTGAGAACATTGCTTCACACATGCATCTGTGCCCCTGCTTGGCACATCCCCTTGAGGACTTCGCTCAACACATCCCCTGTTCCCTTACTCTGCACTTCCCTTTGTCGACATTGCTCCACACACACACACATCTGCACTCTTGCTCAGCACATCCCTTTGAGGACATTTCTCCCCACACACATCTGCACTCTTACTCTGCACATCCTTCAGAGAACATTACTCCACACATACATTTGTGCCCTTGCCCGGCACATCCCTTTTGAGAACATTGCTTCACATACGTATCTGTGCCCTTGTTTGGCACATCCCTTTGAGGACATTGCTCCACACACATCTGTGCCCTTGCTTGGCACATCCTTTGATAACATTGTTCCACACACATTTGTGCCCTTAGTCAGCACATCCCTTTGCTGATTTTGCTCTACGCACACACTGTGCCCTTGTTAAGCAAATCCCTTTGAGGACTGTACCCACTGAACCCTGTACCCATATTCAGCACTGTTTTTTTAGGACATTCCTCCACACACATCTGTGCCCCTGCTTGGCACATTCCTTTGAGGACTTCACTCCACACATCCCCTGTTCCCTTACTCAACACATCCCTTTGACAATACTGTATTGTCATATACATGTCTGTGCCCCTTGCTCGGCACATCCCTTCGAGGACATTGCTCCACACACACACACCTATGCCTGTTCTTGGCACATCACTTTGAGGACATTGCTTCACACACACACATACATCCTTGACTCAGCACATACTTTTGAGCACTTTGTTCCATGCACACACCATCTGTGCATCTGCTCGTCACATCCATGAGGACTGTTTCAGAAACACCTTTTGTGCCTCTGCTCAGCACATCACTTTGAGGACTTTGCTCCACACACACCCACACCTTCTTTGCCCCTACTTTGTCGCATCTCTTTGAGGACATTGCTTCACACACACACACATCTGTGCCCTTGTTCAGCACATTCCTTTGAAGACTGCTCCACACACACACACATCTGTGCCCTTGGCACATCCTGCTGAGAACATTTCTCCACACACATTTGTGCCCTTGCTCGGCACATCTCTTTTGAGGGCATTGCACCACACACGTCTGTGCCCTTTGCTTGGTACATCCTTTTGATAACATTGCTCTACACCACATACATCTGTACCCTTGCTGAGCACGTCTTTTTTATATCATTGCTCCACACACACACACACATCTATGCCATTGCTTGGTGCATCCCTTTGCTGATTTTGCTCTATGAAGACACTGCTCTTTGTCACATCCCTTTGAGGACTACTCATCGAATCCTGTACACTTACTCGGCACATTCCTTTGAGGACATTGCTTCACACACATCTGTGCCCATGCTTGGCACATCCCTTTGAAGCCATTGCCCCACACACACACATATGCTCGGTACATCCTTCAGAGAATATTGCTCCACACATACATTTGTGCCCTTGTCTGGCACATCCCTTTTGAGAACATTGCTCCACACACACACCTGTGTCTTTGCTCGGCACATTCCTTGGCAGATTTTGTTCCACTCACACTGTGCCCTTATTTGGCACCTCACTTTGAAGACTACTCATTGCACCTTGTACCTTTACTCAGCATATTACCTTACCTGAGTTTGAGGACATTACCCTACACACATCTGTTGCTTACACAGCATATTCCTTTGAGAACATTGCTCCACACACACACACACCTTCTGTGCAAGTTCTTGTCACATTCCTTTGATGACATTGCTCCACACACACACATATCTGCACCCTTGCTCAGCACACCCCTTTGATGACTGCTCCACACCCACATCTGCTCTCTTGCTCGGCATGTGCCTTTGAGGACATACTGTAACCCCATACACACATCTGTGCCCTTACTTGGCACATCTTTTTGAGGATATTTCTCCACACACACATCTGTGCCCTTGTTTTGCACATTCCTTTGAGGACCTCACTTTGCACATCCCTTGTTCCCTTACTCAACACATCCTTAAACAACATTGGTCCACATACACATCTGTGCCCTTGCTTGGCACATCCCTTCGAGGGCATTGCTCCACACACACACACACACACACCTATGCCTGTTCCTGACACTTCCCTTTGAGAACATTGCTTCACTCACACACACATCTGTGGCCCTTACTCAGCATATACTTTTGAGCACTTTGTTCCATGCACACATCATCTGTTTATTTGCTCAGCATATCCATGAGGACTGCTTCAGAAACACCTGTGCCTGTTTAGCACATCACTTTGAAGACTGCTCCACACACACTTACCTTCTGTGCCCCTACATTGTTGCAGCCCTTTGAGGACATTGCTCCACACACATCTTTGCCCTTGCTCAGCACATACCTTTGCTGATTTTGCTCCACTCACACTGCCCCCGCTTGGCACATCCCTTTGAGGACTTGTTCGATACAGGAACCATAGGGTGGTTCCTGCATGGAACTGCAGGCAGTGTCCAGCAGTCAGGTCAAACAGAATATCAACAAAAAGTCCTGTCTGAGACAGGGACATTGATCCTCAGAATCATTTCAAGATAGACTTAGGTGTAAGGTCATTGTATACACATAATCCTGTCGAAATCACTAATGGCTATATTAGACTTGGAGAGGTGAACACACATCTAGACGCATGGAATTTCTTATAAAACTGTACTTTTAACTACATAATCTTATAAAACTGTACTTTTAACTACATAATCTTATAAAACTACTTTACCGACATTATTAAACAAAAATTTACTTAACAATAATTTATATCTTCAAGAGAATGGCTTGTTTGTTCAAAGTTGGAGGCTAAATGGTATGGCAAGTCATTAAACATTACAAATATTATGGGCAAATTAATTAAAATGATTAACATTTAAAAAAATTTAATGGAAAACAGTTTTTTTTTGCCCGAAACGCATTGCGTAATAGTGGCTTTAGGCATTGTATGTACTAGCTCTATCTATATATCAATCCATTAATGTAACATCACTTGTATGTATGTACCTTACCTGAATAAACATATTTATATTTATTTATTTATTTATTTAGCTGTAAGGGAAAAAATATTATAAAATGTGTTAAGCTGTATGATAAAAACAAATTTATAAAATAGGATAAGCTGAAAGGGAAATTAAGTTATAAAATGGGTTAGGCTGCAAGGGAAAATGTATTATAAAATGACTTATGCTGTATGGGGGAAAAACACAATTGTAAAATAGGTTAGGCTGTAATGGAAAAACAAGATTATAAAATGGGTTAGGTTATATGGGTAAATAAGATAATAAAATTAATTAAATAATTATTAATTATGCTGTAAAGAAACAATTAAAAATAAGATAATAAAATTAAATAATTATTAATTTTCCTGTAAAGAAACAATTAAAAGATAATACAATTAAATAATTATTATTATTAATTATGCTGTAAAGCAAAAATTAAAAATAAGATAATAAAATTAATTAAATTATTAATTATGCTGTAAAGAAACAATTAAAAATAAGATAATAACATTAAATAATTATTATTATTAATTATGCTGTAAAGAAACAATTAAAATTCATTACGCTGTAAGGAAAACGTACAAATAAATTAAAAACAATAAAAAATAAGATAATAAAAGTAATTAAATTATTATTGTTAATAATGCTGTAAAGAAATAATTGAAAATAAAATAATAAAATTATTAAATAATTATTATTATTATTAATTATGCTCTAAAGAAAAATTAAAATTCAATACACTGCAAGGAAAATGTACAAAACAATTATAAAACATTATAGGCTACTCAGAAAATCAGTATAACAATGGTTAGGCTGTACGGAAAAATAAAAGAAATCAATAGTAATAAGGTTAAAACTGTCAAGTAAATTATACAAATGTCAAGAGATAAAAATAACAATTAAAAATAGGATAATAAAATTAATCAAAAATTTATTATTATTAATTATGCTGTAGAGAAACAATTAAAATTCATTTCACTGTAAGGACACCATACAAATAAATTAAAAACAATTAAAAATAAGATTATAAAATTAATTAAACAATTATTATTATTAATTATGCTGCAAAGAAGCAATTAAAATTCATTACGCTCCAAGGAAACCGTACAAAACAATTACAAAATATTATGGGTTACTCAGGTAATCAGTATAACAATGGTTAGGCTGTACGGAAAAATAATAGTAATATAGATAAAACTGTCAAGTAAATTATACAAATTTCAAGAGATAAGGAAAAATTGGTTAGGACCCCCCCCCCCCCTCCCATAAGGGCAGCCAAGGGGTTGGGGCTACAGCCAAGGGGTTGGGGCTACAGCCAAAGAGTTTGGGCTACTCCAAAAATTGTAAGGCTGTATGAGCGTAGAGAAGAGTCAGCCATTGCTACCATAGTAATTTCAGGGGGCAAGAGAAACCCCCCACAAGGCTAGCCATTTGGGATGTGTAACCCCTAGAGCTCACAAGGTTTGCTGAAGGAAAAGGAGTCTACCTCCTCACCCCAGCATAGCTGACAAATGCAGATGAATTCCTAGCACAGCCAGGAGAGCAGTTCCCCATGACTAGCCAGCTGAGAATCGGAACTCCCAAGGCTAGCCAAGGATGGAGAAAGGAGCCCATCAAGCCCATAGAGGCTAGCCAAAGGGGAAAAAATGCAGACAAGCCTAAAAGGAATAGGAGCCCTCCCCTCTCAGGGTTGCAGATGGGATGAAAATCATGAGGGTAGCCTGGATGGTAATGAGCCCTCGTTTGGATGAAGAGGAGTCCTGTAGCTTCAACTGTAGAGGGAAGCAACGTTGAAGCTTGATTAGCCGAAAGGTGACAACCCCCTAGGTTAACCAGGAAGAGGGGTGTAGAGTTGAACCCCTTGTAGCATGAAGGAAGTCTTTTCTTGAGGAAGAGAATCCTCCAAGGCACCTTGACGAGGGAGTTTCCCTCTGAGGTTATTAAAACTTCTGAAAGGAAGAAACATTACACTTTTACCAAATTAAGATATAAACAAAATTAAAAAATAATTTACTTCATAATCATCGTTTTTCAAAATTCCTAAAATGTGGCAAAAATTTCATCATACGACTCACGTTATAATGTTGTCTTGTACTTCCAGCACATCTTCCAAGCTTTCACTTCAGGACAGAATATGTTCTGGAAAGAAAGTAAATTTTAAAATTTTGTTTTTATCATACATATAATAATGGTAACTTTCATTCAACCAAAACTTAAAATATATGAAAATAGGACACTAGTGAACTCTAAAACACTGAACTAAAAATAATTATATTTTAGCATCAGATAAATATGTAAACCAAAAAAAAGCTACAGTAAATCTGACAAGTCACGTTACTACACATCTTACCGACAGCTATCTTAACTCTTTTCTCCTTTTACCAGTCAGCCCAACATATGTTATGCCCATCATTCACTCACTAAAAACCAAAGCTGGGAACATTAGTGAAATACCATCTATGGTATACAAGAGACGCTCATGCCCTTGCACTATCCATAGCTCTGCTATTAAACAATTCTCTAGTGTCATACTTTCCCTGATATCCTTAAAAAGTAATGAGTAATGATGCCAATTCGTAGTAATGAGTAATGCCAATTCATAAAGGAGGTGATACAGCAGAAACAATTACAGACCAATATCAAATTTATTTATATCATCAAAAATATTTGAAAAATTATGTATACAGCTCTACTCCTACCTCATAAAATTCAACATACTAAGTCCCTATCAGTTTGGATTCCACTCCCAAAAAAGAGTACTAATGATGCAATTATTAGTCTACTTGATATAATTTACACAGCCCTTGACAAAAATGAGTTCCCAATTGAACTCTTCATTGACCTGAGAAAGGCCTTTGATACTGTTAACCAAAAATACCTCTTCCTTAAACTTCACCATTATGGAATCTGAGGCCTTGCCCTGAACTATATTCAATCCTATCTTAGTGACAGACACCAATATGTAGCCATCAATGATATAACCTCCCCCACTCTACCATTAACCATAGGAGTGCCACAGGGCAGCATCCTAAGACCTCTCCTATTTCTCATATACAGTACATCAATGATCTGCCTAATGTCTAACATTCTTAAACCTATACTATTTGCTGACGATACTACCTTCATCTACTCAGACTCCCAACTCACACACACTAAATAATGCTGTGAATAATGAATTAAAAAAAATTCCACTCAAGGATGGCAACCAACAAACTCACACTAAAAATAGAAAAGGCCTACTACAGTACATTTTATATGGAGGCAAATCAACAAATGCAATTCAGCTTCAGATAGATAATGTTAACATCACGAATAAAAAAAGATGGAACATCTCTTGGCCTATACACAGACAACTGAACTTCAGCACCCACAAAAACACATAACCAAAAAGTCTCAAAAATGGACGGCATACTTTCTAAAATCAGATATGTTCCAAACTCTGCTCTTCTCTCATTATACTACGCACTAATCTATCAATATTTTATATACAGTATCTGTGCATGGGGTTCAACCACTACAAACTACTTCAAGCCCATCATCACCCAGCAAAAATCTGCTATCAGAACAATATCAAACTTTTTTCAGACAACACATCCCCCCCCCCTTCCCTGTTTAAATCCCTAAACATGCTAAACATAAACTCACTTCACACATTCTGTTGTGTCATTTAAATGTACAAAACCTTGTTTCTAGATGCAAATCCTCATCTGAAACTCTTCCTTGACAGATATAACAGAACCCATAATCACCACACCAGAAATAAATATCTCTAATATCCCCAGAGTCAAACTAAATCTGTGTAAACACTATGCAAATAAAAAGACCTAGTCTCAGAGCTCACTCCCTAATGAATTAAAAAGCTGTCCAACCAATGCCTTCTTTAGAAGTAAAACCAAAAAAGTATCTAATTTCATCCTCAGTTTCCTACCTAGTGTTTCAAACTCGCACTGAATCTTGTGCTAACCACTCCCCCAATATATGTGCCTAAGCCATACAACTTCACCATTGTAATCACTGCTAGAATCTTATATCATGATTGTTGTGTTGAACTCAAATTTTACTGCAATGCATCTAAAATTAATCTTCAAATTATGCTAATATGTACCTGTTGACAACTCTTAGAATTTTACAGTAATATACCTATTAATTTTCTTACTACAGTATGTATCTGTTAATTATTTTAAATTTTGTCTACAAATTACGTACTGAAAATTATCTGTTAGATTAAGAACCTGCCCCGAAACGCTTTGCGTGTTAGTGGCTTTACATGTAAATGTAAAAACATCAATGCTATGTACTCTCATAAAGCCATTGCATCTTCTGGCATATACAGTAAATAAATAAATAAATAAATAAATAAATAAATAACATATTTCTGATGTAGTGCTCATGGGTTCTATTACACCTATCAAGGAAAAGTTTCAGATCAAGATTAGCATTTAGGAACAAGGTTTTGTACATGTAGATAGCACATGAGAATGTGTGGCGTGTATGTTAAACATGTTAAGGGACTTAAACAGAGGGGCTGTGTGTTGTCTGAAGACAGTGTTATTTATTTTTTATTTATTTATTTACTGTACTGTATATACAAGAGGTACATTGGGGGTTAAGAGAGTATTTATTTATTTTATTTATTTACAGTATATACAAGAAGGTACATTAGCTTTGTGAGAATACATAGCATGGTATTTACAATCTTGTAAAGCCACTAGTACGTGCAGCGTTTCGGGCAGGTCCTTAATCTAACAGATTAATCTAACTTAATCTAACATTCGCTGCCTGAAACGCTTTGCGTAATAGTGGCTTTAGGCATTGTATGTACTAGCTCTTATCTATAAAGCCAACAAACTTTGTAAAATCTCTTTATGTATGTACCTTTGCCTAAATAAAAATTATTATTATTATTATTATTATAGATAATTTTAGGTAGGCAAATTCTAGCAGAATTAATAAAATGATAACAGATACATTGCAAGAAAAAAAATGAGATGAGAGAAATTAGTAAGCATATTAAAGCACATTGGTATATTAAAGCTCTGATTGATTGCACTGACAGCTTGATTGGTAATTTAAACAAAGATTAATAGGCACCACACAGCAAATTGATAGCACATATAAGAAGACAGCAATGATCACAATGGTAAAGTTAATAATAATAATAATAATAATAATAATAATAATAATAATAATAATAATAATAATTTATTTAGGAACAGTACATACATAGTTGCAGTTACAGTACAAACATTCTGTTAGATTTAAAGATAAGAGGTAGTACATACAATACCTAAAGCCACTAGTACGCATAGCGTTTTGGGCAAGGAGGGGTGGGGAAAAAACACTTATTTACTAAAACTTAATAGTAATTGAGCTTAAAGTATAAATTGTGTTGAATGAAAAAAGAATAATAAAAGATAAACAAAGGGGGGGAACATGGTAGAAAATAGCCAATATACAAGTTGGTCAACAAACAGCATTTTTATTTTTAAATAGTAAGGCATGGGTTGACATTTATAAGTAAGGTAGGTTACATGGAGTTAATTAGGTACTGTAGTACTTAGTTTTCATCTTAAACTGGTTGAGAGAGGTGCAATCTTTGACATAATTGGGAAGGTCATTCCACCTTCTAGTTGTTTGTTGTTTGAGTTAGCAAAATTTGAGTTCAACATAATAACTACTATACAATATAAATTGATAGAAATGTTTACATTGGTGAAGTTTCATATAGCCTAGGGTAGCTGCAAAAATGCAGATGTACCTAATGTATTAATAAAAAAAAATTTCTTCAGGACTAATATTGGGGGAGGGGGGTAGCACAAGATACATGTGAGATTGAAGCACAAGGTAGGAAACTATGATGATGAAATTGGGTACTTGTTGGTTTTACTTTTGATTAAGGCATAGGTTAAGTTAAGCAGGCATAAGCAACCATTCACCCAATTTTAGTACTTAAGACATGCAACATCACCAGTATAATTAAGTCAATCAATTTTTATTGTAGTTATTATAGTATGTTACAGGGCAACATCTTGGGAGCTCTATTTTTTATATACAACAATGATTTTCCAAATGTGTCTAACATTCTTAAACCTATACTATTTGCTTATGATACTACCTTCATCTATTCTCACCACAACCTCCACACACTAAATAATAATGTCAACAATGAATTAAAAAAACGTCCACTCATGGATGTCAACCAACAAACTTACACTAAAAATAAACCTACTACATTTTATTTGGTAGTAAATCATCAAATCAGATTCAACTTCATATAGACAATATTAACATTACCAATAAAAATGAGGGGAAATTCCTTGGCCTATACATAGACAACAGACTGAACTTTAGCACCCACATACAACACATAGCCAAAACAAGTCTCAAAAATGGTCAGTATACTTTCTAAAATCAAATATTATGTTCCCCACTCTGCTCTCCTCTCATTATACTACGTGCTAATCTATCCCTATCTTATATACAGTATCTGTGCATGGGGTTCAACCACTGCCGGTCGGAGCCGGTCTGCCGAGCGGACAGCACACTGGACTTGTGATCCTGTGGTCCTGGGTTCGATCCCAGGCGCTGGCGAGAAACCATGGGCAGAGTTTCTTTCACCCTATGCCCCTGTTACCTAGCAGTAAAATAGGTACCAGGGTGTTAGTCAACTGTCACGGGCTGCTTCCTGGGGGTGGAGGCCTGGTCGAGGACCGGGCCGCGGGGACACTAAAGCCCCGAAATCATCTCAAGATAACTGCAAATTACCTGAAGTCCATCATCACTGAGCAGAAATCTGCTATCAGAACTATAACAAACTCAGTCTTCCAACAATACAGCACCTCTGTTACAGTCCCTTAACATGCTAAACATACATTCACTCCACACATTCTCATGTGCTATCTACATGTACAAATCCTTGTTCCTAAATGCTAATCTTGATTTGAAACTTTTCCTTGATAGGTGTATTAGAACCCATGAGCACCACACTAGAAATAAATATAACTTTTGATATCCCCAGTCAGACTAAATCTGTGCAAACACTCCATGCAAATAAAAGGGTTCAATCTTTGGAACTCACTCCCTGATGAATTAAAAACTGTCCAACCCATGCCATGTTCAAAAGTAGAACCAAAAAGTACCTAATTTCATCCTCATTGTTTCCTACCTTGTGCTTAAAACTCACACTGTATCTTGTACTACCCAGTTCCCCAATATTAGTACGTATGACATATACCCTTACCAGTGTAGTCACCTTTGTCAATTTATATTTGTAGTTATTTGTTGATAAATAACCGTGCTACAATGTACCTTTTCATCTTACCTGATATGTTAGATTAAGGACCTGCCCGAAAAGCTATGTGTGCTAGTGACTTTGCACGAATGTAAAAATTCTGATCTTATGTAATCTCACCAACCCGTTGTACTTTCTTGCAAATAAATCATCATCATTATTATTTTTTTTAAATCAATGTTATGTACACTCACAACCCAATGTATTTTCTTGTAAATAAATAAATAAAACATCACCAAATTTGCAGATGAAACTAAGATCTATGCTAAAGTGGGAAATGAAAATGATATTGAAGCCTTACAAAGCTATCTAAATGAACTCCACAAATGGTCAGAAGACTGGCAAATGCTTTTTAATATTGAAAAACGCAAGACCTTGCATGTGGGATATAAGAACCTGCATGACAACTACCAAATGAATACAATTACCCTGCAGCAGATTGTTGAAGAAAAGGACCTTGCTGTCAAAATTCATTATTCACTGAAAGTTGCATAACAGGCAAGAGCAGCAGTAAAAAAAAAAAAGTTAACCAAACTCTAGGAATAATCAAGCATACCTTTAACTTTCAGAAAAAGAAGCTTGTGATTTAACTGTATAAATCTCTCGTGCTCTGGTGATTATAAATCACTTGGATTATTATGTCCAAGCATGGAGACATCTTCAGGACATAGCTGCTCTGCATAAAGTACAACATTGGGTAACAAAAATAAATCCAGAACCAAGTCCACTCTTGTATTAGGAATGGTTGAGGGCCTCAAGGCTAACAACACTTCAAACCAAGTATGACAGGATAGATAATAATAATGATGATGATGATGATGATGATGATGATGATGATGATGATGATGATGATGATGATGATGATGATGATGATGATGATGATGATAATATTGTAATAATAATAATAATATATGAATAAGAATAATAATGTGAATAAGAATATGAATAAGAAGAATATTTATTTATATTTTATTATTTAATGTGAATAAGAATATGAATAAGAATAAGAATAATAAGAGTAAGAAGAATAAGAAGAATGTTTATTCAGATAAAAGTACATTCAGTAAATTCAAAATGAGTTACAAACAGAATGTTGAATTTCTAGAGCTTGTACATACTATGACTAAAGCCACTAATAGTTTCCAGGATCTCATAAAACACTGAACAATTTGGAGGATATTGATCCAGGCAATTTCTTCAAAAGGTCAGGTGCAACACAAAACAAAGAGCAGCAGTTTCAAGCTCACAAGCCAAAATATAGGACTTGAAACAGGAGATGCTTTTTCACCCACAGAGCTATAAACTCAAGGAACTGCCTATCCACCTAAAATTAATGCCAAAACTGTTAATTTTAAAATCCAGCTGTAAAAAATCCCTAGAGCATATAGGGGGATCTTTGCCAAGCCTCCGGCTTCCTGTCCTCGTCGAGGCCACTAGTGTTAGTGGCCCCTCAGGTAAATTAAGGTAAATTTGATTATGCCTTTCATTAAGGCAAATTAAAAACTGCTCGATATATTTCGCATGAAATATCTGATCATAAAATAATTATTTGTTGGCATGGTTTTCATACTAGGACCTAACGAATTGCTTCAAATATGGACTGAAGATGGTGTGTGAGAAAAGAAACTACGAGAGAAAACTTACCTAAAACAAGGAAAGATCCAAAGTCCATCTATGTCTATATTATAAGTAAAACCAAAACAAAGAACTCAGTTGGACCCTTAAAAAATGAGACTAACCAAATTATATTGAGATAAAAATGCAGCAAATGCTCAGAATTAATACTTTACGTCAGGGTTCGCACTACAAGGAATAGATAACATTGCAATACCCACACAAAAGTTTGAAGGATGTAAAGAGAACAAATTAAGGGATATACCCATAACATAAAGCCGGTCGGCCGAGCGGATAGCACACTGGACTTGTGATCCTGGGTTTGATCCCAGGCGCCGGCGAGAAACAATGGGCAGTTTCTTTCACCCTATGCCCCTGTTACCTAGCAGTAAAATAGGTACCTGGGTGTTAGTCAGCTGTCACGGGCTGCTTCCTGGGGGTTGAGGCCTGGTCGTGGACCGGGCTGCGGGGACACTAAAGTCCGGAAATCATCTCAAGATAACATACCTGTTTAAATATGACAAAAACTTACATATTGCTGTGCCATGTCAGCAAGAATTGTCTTACCTTGGTGTAGATTCTCTTCAAATAAAGATATTGAGCCTTGCAAGACTTCTCCACAAATTTCCTGCAATAAAGAACAAAAACGTGATATAACAAACCGTGTACTGCGTTCATTTATTACAATCTCATGCGAGTCATCTGTGTCAACATGCATAAGCACTGTCTTAGAAGAATTAAGTCTTAAAGCAGTTAAATTGGTAATCAAAAATATATAGGAAGAACGTGGCTGACGTAATTCATTACCTGAGTGTAGTTACAGGATGAGAGCCACGTGTCGCGACATTTAGTGGAGCACGTGGAACCACGTCTTCTCCCGGTGATGATCACACGTGCTCTGGTGAGCCCACACCCGCGCGCGGGGAGGCTGAGGGCACACCGAGTTGCTTTGTCTCCACCCTGATTGGTTCCATTTTAGTGCTATGTTGTACACAGTCCCTTGATGAAAGAAATGTGGAATATAAGTGCTATGTTGTACACAGTCCCTTGATGAAAGAAATGTGGAATATAAGTGCTATGTTGTACACAGTCCCTTGATGAAAGAAATGTGGAATATAAGTGGAGTATATAAGTGGAATATTAGTGGAGCCAAATTAACTTCCTACAAAAATTAAAAAAAAAACTAATTAACATTTTTTGTCAGCATGAGTTTATTTCCTCACTTTAAAATTGTCAGAGAAATCATGAAGTTGTTGAGACTACTGTCCGCATTGAATTGATTTTGCATAGAATTAGAATTACCTATAGTTCATTATTATAACAGTTTTTAGGACAGAGTTCACTTAGACTAGGCTACTTATCCTGTAAACTATAGTATACAGTGCTGGTTATTTTGAGATGATTTCGGGGCTTTAGTGTCCCCGCGGCCCGGTCCTCGACCAGGCCTCCACCCCCAGGAAGCAGCGCGTGACAGCTGACTAACTCCAAGGTTCAAGTTCAAGTTCAAGTATGTTTATTGAGACAAGAAAGAAATACACCTCAAAGGGATAGAGTAGCTTAGGCTATTTCTACCCCCCCCCCTGCTCCCAGGTACCTATTTACTGCTAGATAACAGGGGCATCAGAGTGAAAGAAACTCTGCTCATTGTTTCTCACCGGCACCCGGGACCACAGGATCATGCGACCAGTGTTCTGTCTGCTCAGCCGCCGGCCCCCTGGTATAACGTATACCAGTATAACATTATCCTGTAAAGTGTAAACTGTATAATTTATTGTGCAAAACCATACTCATCCTATGAGCTGTGGATTATTTTGCATCCGGTATTCATTCTGTGCTCAGTAGTTTACTGTGCCAGCCATACTCATCCTGTCATTGACTTGGGTCCCGCCTCTCAGCCCTTAATCAAGTTCAAGTACGTTTATTGAGACAATAAGATACATCTCAAAAGGATAGAGTAACTAAGGCTATTTCTACCCGACCGGTACTTACCTATTAAAGCTTACCTGATAATGAAAGTGAGGTCTAGCTGCTTATACCCCGCAAACTAGCCTTGTTACACGGTGTATAGATTTCAAAGTACATTAGACTCCACAGGGTCTTCTTTTCTCGCTGTTTAATGCAGGTCCGTTTCCCCTGCCTGTAGTTTTGCAAGACAGTTAGATAGGAATTCTCAAAGTATCTTTATTTATAGCTGTGTACGCAGCCAGTGGGCACACGCAATATTCAAGAGTAAGGTTAATTCAACGTTGAATCAATGTTTAACGTCGATTCTACGTTGAATTAATGTGACACTTTGATATTGCACCCACTGAGTGGAGTTTGCCTCTACCACTTCACTGCTTAGTGCATTCCGCTGTATAGTATCCTCACACTGGAAAATTATTTTCAGTATTTCTTTGGCTCATATGGCCACTTAGTTGCCTTCCATTTGTGTCCCCTTGTTTGTGTATTACATCCAGGATTTTCTAGTTTGTTTCTGGAGTTCAGTTTCTCTGTAATTCCATCTACGTGACTTTAAAACACACTACTTTCTTTGCATTCTCACTTGCAAACTTTCTTGTCCTGTCTTCATGGTGTGGATGAGTTCTCGGTGTAGGCAAAATTTAAGGAGTTGAAGCGGTTTGGTTTGATTGATTTTGTTGAGACAATGAGAATTTAAGTCTGATTTGCTTCTCTGTGTTTTGTATTACTAATTTTGTTGAGGGGAAGGTAACAACTGCATATCTAACTTTTCAATATCCTAGTTTAATACTTATATTTGTACCTAATTTAGCCTAGGGATGTGTTAAGCTTAATTAAGGTGGTTTATTTTGGTCTAGGACAGGATAGGTTATGGTTAATCTGTTTTAGTTTTTATTTTAGAATTGCGTTAAAACAAAACATGTATTTTTTTTAGTTCAACATTTCAAATGTTGTACGTTAGATCCATGTAGTTGTTGTTGGCACAATAGTTTTTTTTTTTTTAGTATGGGATGGATTTTTTAAAATGTAAATCTGTCGAGATTATTTACACCATCTCTGTAGTGGCTTCGTCGAGGACAGGAAGCCGGCGGCTTATCAAAGGTCCCTCACCCCATTTTTCCTGCTGATGATTAGAATACATTTTCACTCAAATATTTATATCCTCTCTCCGTCGTTAAAAATGTAGACGACAATGTTTCCATGTTTTTATTTTATACAATTGTAGTAAATGTAGTTAACAAACAATTATATTGCTGAGGTATGGTAACTGCCAGAGACAGAATATCTCATCCTCTCAGATATATCCCAAATTTCTTTTATAATTTTGTTTAGGATTTTTTGCGAGTGCTTCCTTATCTTTGATAGCTCAAGCGCTTCCTTGGCATTGACAGATATGTCAAGTATTACTAAAGCTTGGAATTAGATCGTTATATAAGTGACTTTAAACATATCTAACCTCGCCCCTAGGAATTACTGCTATTTAAAACATAGATACATGTTAAAACTCTGGCAGATAAAGCCACCTTCTTTGGTCTCTGAAATGGAAGAGGTGAAATAAGTTAAACGAGGGAGTGGGCCTGAGAGCTGAGTGGACAACGCTTGGGATTCGTAGTCCTAAGGTTTCTGGTTCGATCCCCGGCGGAGGCGGAAACAAATGGGCAGAGTTTCTTTCACCCTGATGCTCCTGTTCACCTAGCAGTAAATATGTACCAGGGAGTTAGACAGTTGCTACGGGCTGCTTCCTGGGAATGTGTAACAAAAAGGAGACCTGGTCGAGGACCGGGCCGCGGGAACGCTAAGCCCCGAAATCCTCTCAAGATAACCTCAAGAAGGGAGGGTGAGTAATGAGTCTAGACTTGAGTGTATGGAACTCACTCTCTAACGAATTAAAAAATTGTCCAACCTATGCCTTATTCAAAAGTAAAACCAAAAAGTACCTGATTTCAATTTCATCCTCATAGTTTCTTAATGGTGTGCTTTAAACTCACTCTATATCTTGTACTACCCACTTCTCCAATATTAGTACTTAAGGCATAATATCTTCACCAGCGTAATCACCTCTTTCAATTTATATTTTAGTTATATGTGGATATAACACTGCTACAATGTATCTTTTTCATCTTACCTGATATGTTAGATTAATTAAGAACCTGCCCGAAACGCAATCACAGCCCCGCTCCCGTAAGTCCACTAGGGCTCACCATAGCCCGTACAACTTGGAACTTTTGTTCCCAGTAGCTGAATCTAAAACAACAACAACGAAACGCAATGCGTGTTAGTGGCTTTGCAAGAATGTAAAATACCTATCTTTTGTAATCTCACCAACCCATTGTACCTACTTGTGAATAAATTATTATTATTATTATTATTATTATTATTATTATTATTATTATTATTATTATTATTATTATTATTATTATTATTATTATTATTATTATTATTATTATTATTAGAAAAAGAGAATAGATTGGAAGTTGGTTTTCAAATTAAAATTATATAATGCAGGCGATTAGTCACAATAACGTGGCTGAAGTATGTTGACCAATCCACACACTAGAAAAATGAAGGGACGACGACGTTTCGGTCCGTCCTGGACCATTCTCGACTTGAGAATGGTCCAGGACGAACCGAAACGTCGTCGTCCCTTCATTTTCTAGTGTGTGGATTGGTCAACATAAAATTATATAATCGTTTTACAAACTTCAATTTAATCCCTCAGAGCAAAACTATCACCTTTTACAGTTGTTGGCACAAATTACACCGAGTAATACACCATATATTTTTCAGTAAGTTATTGCATTTAAGAATTTTTTAAATATAAGCATTTAAGTATTTTTTAAATATAAGCATTTAAGCATTTTTTAAATATAAGCATTTAAGTATTTTTTAAATATAAGCATTTAAGCATTTTTTAAATATAAGCATTTAAGTATTTGTTAAATATAAGCATTTAAGCATTTTTTAAATATAAGCATTTAAGTATTTTTTAAATATAAGCATTTAAGTATTTTTTAAATATAAGCATTTAAGTATTTTTTAAATATAAGCATTTAAGTATTTACTAACTCTATCTAGAAATCCAACATTCTGCTTGTAACTCAGTATGTATGTTGGTACTTTTACCTAAATAAACTATTTATTTATTTATTGTTTATTTATTTGATCATCGCAAAACACGATAATTCAAATACCCAAGTTGTTTATATAATGTTGTGTTGCAGATGGTGTGGAGTTCCGTGGGTCAGGTGTGGGCGGACCTGTGGTATCTGCCACCCAGCATCCCCAGTCGCGCTACACACCTCCTCCACGCCCACCTTCTCCACGCCCAACTCTTACATGGCCACTTAGAAAGTTACGTTTATGATATAACCCGCCCTCTTTTGACCCTACTGGCTGTCAGGGCTCGGAAGATCGCCATCGTGCCAGTCGATCGGCAATTTGCGAGTCTCTCTTCTCCTGCCATTTTCTGTGAATGTGGCGTGTACAAAGGAGAACACCAGCTTCAAGAACTGGATTTAACGGGCGTGGATCTCGGGTTAGACATGAAAGTGCTGTTAGCTCTGTTGCCTGTGTGCCCTGAGTTGACCGTGCTCAAGCTGGGCGGCAACACAACGCCTGACGTACTACAGGCTGCCAAGACCTGTCCTCTCACAGTCCTGCACATAAGTGAGCGGTCTGCTAAGGACCCTCGAGTTTCTGAGAGTGATTTAATGGAAATAATTATTGGTTCCAGGAATCACAATCCAACGGAGCTACTGAGCAGTATTCGACGAGGTAGAATGATAGAAGCAAACCCAACGTGGCCGCAGATGTCTGATTTCTCTACTGGGCATTGTAAAGTGCAGCAAGACTTTCTGCTACTGCTTCTTGCAGTTCTTACGAAACTAAATAACTTATCATGTAAATCATTAGATCTTCAGAAGGTTATCTGCGCTTTTGATGATTTGATCAAAGAATCCCCAAAACAGCTCAAACTTTCCCTGAAATCAAACCAGTTACTTGCTAATGAAGATTTTCTGGATACTTTGTCACGCGTTGCACCCGACATTGAAGATGTGAAGGTGATTTACAGGAGAAGAAGTATACAAAATATCGCAAGTGACATCTTGACTCTCCATGACAACTTCCCATCCCTAAAAGCTCTGCACATTTTTGGAATGAGACACGCTAGTCAGAGTGAACCTTCTCCAGAGGTTTTTGCCTGCATTGGAATTCGGCTTAAAATTCTAGAACTTGACGAAATATGCCTTAGAGATATACCATCGTTGCTTCAAGTATGCCCTCTTCTTCAAGATCTAACGCTAACCTTTAAGCACGGAATTAAGTGTGATCACACTGGTCTTCCCGATACGGCACGCTTCGAAAACGTGATCACTCTCAACGTCAAATCATCCCGATTAAGACAAGAGCCTCTGAGCTTCCTCCTGAAAATGCTTCCAAATTTACAAACAATAGCTGTTCAAGGCAGAGTAGATAACGTAGAATTATTTTTGGGTTATCTCACTCAACTAACAGAATTGAGAACTGTGAAAATGACAGAGCTAGAAACTTTGGAAGTTGCGAGTCTTTGCGAACTGCCCAGGATGGTCAGTGATCGACGGCCTTGGGAACTGTACGCTTCTCCCCATATCCTCAATCAATCAGACATCAAGACGCTACAAAATTGTGGGTGGACTTATATACCTTTCAGGGAGTACACATTTAAAATCGGGAACTTGTATTCATTTTCCCTACGGCACGTAGCGTGGAATTGAAATTATAGCTCTTGAAATAATTGGCTCGGATACTTTTATCATACCTAAGTTCATGAACAAATGATTTCCCAGTATCCGTCTTTGTGCAGTCAACCTTTTTTTAATGTGTTAGAAAAGTTATTATATGCATGTTGTTATTATTTCAAGTGTTTATGAGTATCTTTTAAACGTAAACATTTAACTGGTATATATATTTTTCCTGTGGCCCTTAACTCTAATGTTAACCTGTACATATATATTTTAACATAATATATATTATGTTAACCTATATATATATATATATATATATATATATATATATATATATATATATATATATATATATATATATATATATATATATATATATATACATACATATGCGGAAACCCACAGAGAAATGGGAAGGGAAATGTTGAACGTTTCGGCTGGTAAGAGCCTTTCTCAACAAAAAATTAGTCGGTTGTATATATCAAACAGTTATTGTGATCAAATAAAGTTCCGTCCACTTGAAATTTTGTTTTTTGATTCCCATTCATAAATAGTGTAAGTACGGTATTTAATAATATTTCGTTCGAGACCAAATTTATTAAGAACCGTTTTATTTAAGGGAAACCTTTTAATTAAGGGAAAATGCATATGCAAAAAATGATTGAAATCGACTTTTCATCGCTCACCAAAAGATTATAAGACAAAATGTGATCTGATATTATTTATTGAAATTATGCCATCGTATATCAGGAACAATGGCCGGTGGAACACTTGACAAGCTGCAAGTGATCTTCAGGTAAATTGATAATGATTACAACAATACTGAAATTAACACAGAAAAAATGTTGGTAAGACAGTCAAACATAATGAACTCTATAGGTATTCACTGAGAAAAAAGACTGAGAAAGTTGTCAGACGTCTGACAACGTCTTTTTTTTATTAACAAGCTTAGGTATACGCAGCAATGTGCTGCTACCCTGTTCTATATGAAAGATTACACAGTTAAGATACAAAACTAGCTATAAATTAATCATCCTCATCTCACAGGATTGTTAGTCATATCGTGGGACACACACAGATTGTTAATTGGGTGTAATAGTATAAAATAATGCACTAAAAAGAAAATAATAATAATAATAATTTTTACCTAAGTAAAAGTACATAAATAGGAAATAATGATTTTGTGTGAATCATGGGTAGGACAGGTATAACGCTTAAAGCCACTAGTACACAAAAAGTTTCGGCCATAAAATGGAAAAAAGCTCAATTGATGACCTAATACTAAATGACATAAAAGATAAATGATTTGAGGCAGAGGAAAAGAAATAAAAGTGCAATTATTGCATGATGACTGGAACAGAAACAATTACTGACAGGCTCCGTATGTTTCTGTGAATCATTCAATTTCTCCCAACCAACCCATCAACATTGGTGTTCCTCAGGGCAGCATACTTGGCCCTTTCCTCTTTCTCATCTACATTAATGACCTTCCAAATGCCTCTCAACACCTAAGAACATAAGAACATAAGAACAAAGGTAACTGCAGAAGGCCTATTGGCCCATACGAGGCAGCTCCTATTCTATAACCACCCAATCCCACTCATATACTTGTCCAACCCGTGCTTGAAACAATCGAGGAACCCCACCTCCACAATGTTACGCGGCAATTGGTTCCACAAATCAACAACCCTGTTACTGAACCAGTATTTACCCAAGTCTTTCCTAAATCTAAACTTATCCAATTTATACCCATTGTTTCGTGTTCTGTCCTGTGTTGATACGTTTAATACCCTATTAATATCCCCCCGGTTATGTCCATTCATCCACTTGTAAACCTCTATCATGTCACCCCTAACTCTTCGCCTTTCCAGTGAATGCAACTTAAGCTTTGTTAATCTTTCTTCATATGAAAGATTTCTAATTTGGGGAATTAACTTAGTCATCCTACGCTGGACACGTTCAAGTGAATTTATATCCATTCTATAATATGGCGACCAAAACTGAACTGCATAATCTAAATGGGGCCTAACTAGAGCAAGATATAGCTTGAGAACCACACCAGGTGTCTTGTTACTAACGCTGCGATTAATAAATCCAAGTGTCCGATTTGCCTTATTACGAACATTTATGCATTGATCCTTTTGTTTTAAATTCTTACTAATCATAACTCCCAGATCCCTTTCGCAATCCGACTTCGCAATCACAACACCATCTAGCTCGTATCTTGTAACTCTATCATCATTACCTAACCTCAGAACTTTACATTTATCAGCATTAAACTGCATCTGCCAATCCTTTGACCATTTCAAAACCCTATCTAGATCAACTTGAAGTGATAGTGAGTCCTCCTCCGAATTAATTTCCCTACCGATTTTCGTATCATCGGCAAATTTGCAAATGTTGCTACTCAAACCTGAATCTAAACCTCCAACCAATTCTATTTGCTGACGACACAACCTTTATTTTCTCCAGTCCTGACCCTCTTGCTCTTAATGTCACAGGGAACACTGAACTAAATAAAGTCCATCTTTGGCTAACTGCCAACAAACTCACCCTTAACATCGACAAAACTTTCTATATTTTGTTTGGCAATAAATCCTCAAATGAAATTTATCTAAGAATAAACAATATACAAATTAGTAACAAAGTAGATGGAAAATTCCTTGGTGTTCTCATCGATAACAAGCTGAATTTCCAAGGACACATTCTAAATATATCAAAAAAGTTTCTAAAACTGTTGGCATTCTTTCTAATATGTACCTCGTTCTGTTGTATATTATGTACTTATGTACATAATTATATTATGTACTAATATGTACATACTGTTATGTACCTCGTTCTGCCCTGGTGACGCACTATTACTCTCTCATCTATCCTTGTCTCAATTATGATATTTGTGCTTGGGGTTCTACTACACAAATTCATTTACGTCCTCTAATTATTCAACACAAAGCTGCTATTAGAACAATATCTAACTCTGGCCCCAGACAGCACTCAAATCTTTGAATATGTTAGATATTAAGTCACTGCACATCCTCTCATGCGTACTCCTTATATTTAAAACTCTGAACTGCAATGTCAATCCTGACCTTAGAAGCTTCCTAGAAGGTTGTAACAGAACTCATAGGCATCACACTAGAAACAAATATAAAATAAATACCTATTTGATATTCCAAGAGTGCGACTTAACCAAACTAGAAATACTCTACAAATCAAGGGACCCAGAATGTAGAATGGTCTCCCCAATCATGTTAAAGGCTGTACCTCTCTCAACCAGTTTAAGAGTAAAACCAAGTGATACTTAATTAACTCCATGTAAACTACCTTACCCCCTAAATGTCAACCCATGTCTTGCTTTTGTTAAACAATGCTGTTTGTTCACCAACTTGTACAGTTGCTGATTTCTGTCATGTTCCCCCCGTTTTCTTCCCCTTGGGTTCCATCCCAATTGCTATTAAGTTTTAGTCTAAGTGTTCCCCCCTCCCCCCCACACTTTGCCCGAAACGCTATGCGAATTAACAGCTTTAGGTATTGTATGTACTAGCTCTATCTATAAATCCAACATTATCTTTGTAAATCAACTATGTATGTACTTTTCCTGAATAAAAATGTATTTATTTATTTATTTATTTAATTGTAACAACATATTAATTTTACAGCGTTTTACAGTGTTTTACAGCGAATATATTTTTTATTACATTTTTACATGGGAGATAAAATCAGTAGTACAAGTTCAGTAATTAATGTTCAATAACAGAATTTGCCTTAGAATATAGTCTCTGTGGCATAGTGGTAAAACATTCGCCCGGCGCTTGGCAAGCACTTTGGCCTGGGTTCGTATCCTGGCCGGGGAGGATTGACTGGGCGCCAATCGCCAGTACTTAGACCCCAACCCACACACTTCAATTAATGTTGTAAACAATTGTGGCGAGTAAATTGTGTAAACAATTTACTGGCTCCAAACTCATTAGTTAAATGAGAGAAGCAAACCTCTCATCAGCATTAATGACATCAATAAAATCTTTTCCCTAATTACAAGTAATATTTCTTTCATCATATTAGAGGAAGCTGATTGATTGATGAAGAATAAGCCACCCAAAAGGTGGCACGGGCATGAATAGCTAGTAAGTGGTGGCCCTTTTGAGCCATTACCAGTATCAATAGATGATACTAGAGATCTGTAGAGGTGCGACTGCACCCTGCGTGACGGGAGATGTCTCCCGTCTAGAGGAAGCTGAGGTGTAGTCCAATAATATAAGCAAGCGAGAAGCGATTAATACCTTTACGGGCTATTCATGCCCGTGCCACCTCTTGGGTGGCTTAATCTTTATCAATCATCAATCAATCGATTAATACCACACGGGAGACATCTCCCGTCACGCAGGGTGCAGTCGCACCTCCACAGATCTCCAGTATCAGCTAATGATACTGGTAATGACTCAAAAGGGCTACCACTTACGGGCTATTCATGCCCGTGCCACCTTTTGGGTGGCTTAATCTTCATCAATCATCAATCAATCGATTAATACTAGGAGGCTTACCATAGCCCGTGCTACTTGCCCAGCTCCTGTGCCAGGTAAGTTACGAATTTGGGGAATTAACTTAGTCATCCTACGCTGGACACGTTCAAGTGAATTTATATCCATTCTATAATATGGCGACCAAAACTGAACTGCATAATCTAAATGGGGCCTAACTAGAGCAAGATATAGCTTGAGAACCACACCAGGTGTCTTGTTACTAACGCTGCGATTAATAAATCCAAGTGTCCGATTTGCCTTATTACGAACATTTATGCATTGATCCTTTTGTTTTAAATTCTTACTAATCATAACTCCCAGATCCCTTTCGCAATCCGACTTCGCAATCACAACACCATCTAGCTCGTATCTTGTAACTCTATCATCATTACCTAACCTCAGAACTTTACGTTTATCAGCATTAAACTGCATCTGCCAATCCTTTGACCATTTCAAAACCCTATCTAGATCAACTTGAAGTGATAGTGAGTCCTCCTCCGAATTAATTTCCCTACCGATTTTCGTATCATCGGCAAATTTGCAAATGGCTACTCAAACCTGAATCTAAATCATTTATATATATTATAAACAACAGAGGTCCCAGGACAGAGCCTTGAGGCACTCCACTTACAACATTTTCCCACTCTGACTTGATTCCATTTATACTAACTCACCATAGCGGGCTCACCATAGCCCGTGCTACTTGGAACTTGTTCCGAGTAGCTGAATCTATAACAACAACGATTAATAATCAAGTTACAGCCCCTATCCTGTGCCAGGTAAGTCCACTACGGGCTCACCGTAGCCCGTGCTGCTCTGAACTTACGTTTCGAGCAGCTGAATCTAAAACAACAACAACAAACGATTAATAATCAGTACAATTTTCACAGTAATTCAGTTACCTTCGGTACAGACGCTTGGGAGTTACCTCACCTCTTCAACCTCAAGAATGTAGCACTTGGCGTGTACAGTTCTAATCGACCCCGAAGACGCTACAGCTTCGA